CTAGAAATGCTCAATTAACGATGGTCTGGGAAACATCCCTGAGATTGATCTGAAGACATACCATCGGAATTTTGATCCTCTGCAGAGTGAATGGTTCCCTTGCTTTGGTAGCCCAATGACCAGTATGCGAGCATTTTACGGTAGAACAGTTTAACGAGGACAATTACTGCGCATCCTCTGTCCCTTTGCAGGCTGATCAAAGTGGTCCCCCACCCACTTGCTGACCGCAGCCAGTGATGCTTGACTACTGGAAACCGTGTCTTTACGATCAGTCCACTCTCGGATTTGAAAGACGCAGTTTTAAAAGACGTTACATTGAAATAATACATAAAAGACGTTATTTAACTGTTGATATGACCGAAATATGTAGCTATTGTAGTGTACTCACTTTTAGTTAAAAGAAAAAAATTCTTCTGTGAAATATATTAAGTGCTGGCCCATGAGGGAATGAGCATTTTCCATGCCATTTATTAAATTTTTTTTTATTTCAATAACTTATTAGTGACTAAAAATTTCAAATTTTTTTAAAGAGTTCAGTTTGAAAAATTTAAATGATTTATTAAAATTTGAAAGCTTTTACTTCGGAACGCATTTCAAATTGATTTAACTTAGTAACGTGAATGGTTTGCAAAGCAAATCGTTTAAGATTGCACAGTAATCTTCGTGGGTTGGGGAGCGAGCAGGGGGTGGAGTATAACTTTCTCCAAAAATTCTCTTCCGTTACATCACCTAACTTATCTCTAAATTCTTGTTGGAGTCTCCCAAGAAACTCTATAAATAAAAGCAATGTTATCGGCTCAAACTTTGTTAACTTTCAACTATGAAGATGCAATATTTGTTAAGAGAAAAGCTCTAGGGAAAAAATTTCCCCGTTCAATCTTTATGGGGAAATTAAATAAAATTTATATAGGGGAATATCGATCGGAATTAATGAATCTTCAACGCTACCAAATTTTACACTTTTTGCGACACTTTTTTTTTTAAAAAAACTTTTTCCGAATGTTAGCAAATTTATTTGGATGTGAAATAATGACAAATTACAAAAAGACAAATATTGAAATAAATACTTTATGTAGAAAATATCAAACTAAGTGACATTTTCAGAAGGGGCTACTTCCAGGGTTAAAAGTGGTATCTGAACTATTTTTATGACAGATAGATTAGATAATAATTCTTTGCTTTATTTTATTTACCATCACTTAATTTGAAATAAAAGTCATACAAAAATACTCAAAACTAACGTAAATTAGTCATGTTAAAATTAAAGAGAGAACAAAATAAATTCTACTACATACTTATATTGATGTTATTTTCCCGCGTAAATAAATATACTTTTGAAAATATCATTTACCCGCTCTCCATTTTATTTCTATAAATTAGGGGGTCCTGTCCTCTGATCGCTTGCCTCACCAACCCCTGTAATTGCCACAATAATTTTTTTTTCTTCCGTTTCTTGATAATATACAGAGCGTTACAAAATAAAGTATTTGATCGAAAAATCTCAAAATGTTTTATTATATTAACACGAATTTGATTTCACAGTTCGATTCTTATTGGGATAAAATTTAAACCTAATCATATTGCTCGATTGCCATTGCAACATCATTCACATCTTTTTAAAAATTCATAATTAAATTTTGATTCATTAAAATCCTCTTTCAATGTTTTTAGTAATAGTACGAAAACTAAATTGCTAATAATGCTAAAAAATTTAGATTTTTATTATTTTATCGCATATGTTGGTTAGTATCGTTGGTATCGTTGATGAAATACTTTAACTAAGATTAAGAAAGATTTTTTTAAAAGTGAAGTAGTTTCACTTTGAAAAATCTTTCCCAACGACCATTCAAGTTAGCAGCTATATAACTCAATAATTGCATAACTTACCATATGATACCGATAGCCACTCAATAAAGTGGATTTCAAGATGTAAAGATAACACATAGAGTAGGTACAAAGAGGCATCTCTCTCATTTAAAGGGATAGTAATATTTTATAACCGTCGTTGAACTGCCGACCCAATTTTGGGTTTACGTCTGCTAATATTCAACTCCGTAGCTTTGAATTTTGAACCCAATCCGGAAGACAAGGGGACTCCTGGATCAAGCATTGTTAGAAATTCGAGTTTGTGGAAGGCTTTTTGGTGGAAATAACCCAGATTTACGTTACGTGGATTGGAAAACCACGAAAACCTCCCACGATTAGCCTGACGGCAAGGGGACTCTAACCCATGTTCCGTCTACCACTGAGGGTATTTTACGGCAGCTCTGCGGTCGGTGCAAGCCGGATGCGGAATTGGGATTCGAACACGGGTCACCTCATCGGAAGTTGAACGCTCTATCCTCTGAGCCCTCCTCCATCCACGGCTCCCCATCGATACATCCTTTTGTAGTTCTAGAGTATTCCGTAAAGAATCTTTTTGTAGGCAATGGTCAAGAAAAATTTAAAAAGTTTTGGTAAACGTTTCACGAGGCTCTTGTAAATACGAATCGATTCGAACCCGGTTCACCTTATTAAAAAACGAACGCTCTCATGAGCTATCACAGTCTTCCATGGAGGGTTCACACTGTAAAGTTAAATGCAGATAGCGTTAGGGGTTAAAATTCCTAGTGAGACTTCCGGATTATACTACTTTCAACCGAGTTTTACGACTAAACTTAATAGAAACACCCTATAATATTGTAATGCTTTCAATATTGTGCACGTTTTTTCAATACAACATTTAACGAAACAACAAATGAATTCAGATGTCTATGATGCTACCCCCAAAAATAACAAATTGCGCTATTTTACACAAATATATAGCCAAATAAGGGATGACACTCAAAACATGGCTAATCTTACACTTTTTTTAAGCTGTGATATTAATTTTGTTAAATTTGTTTTAGGCCCGTTAGAATTTATAAATTACAGATGCCTGTTCATACATCACCTCGTTACCATAATATAAGAGCGGAGGGATACACACGAAGTTCTCTTCCGGTTTTAGCAAGCTTGTTTACATTCAGTCAGCCATCCAACTTTTAAATTTATAGAGTGGTACCAAAATGAAATTTGAAAGCAGACTTTTCATTCATACTTAACCCTCTATTCGAAATAGCTAGCAGTATGTTGTATAACTTCAGTATGCATGTTTATACGAAATAAACGTAACGGTAATAATAATGATTTTTTTTGTCAAATTTATTAAAACAAGAATCAAAGTTGAGTGTATAAATGAGGTTGCCACTTAAAGAATAAATTCTTTGGAAGGGTTGGCAAGTATTTAATCCTATGTCGATTCCTTATATTTAAAATGAAAAAATGCCTACATTATTCCTCACTCTTTTTTAACATATTTGTGTTGACTTTTGTTACTTTTAAAAAGCAGAAAAGGGGAAGGGCAAATGTTTCTTTATTAGGATTTATGGTTTAGAAACAAGACAGTTCTGTTTAAAATAATAATATAATTTTTGTATTTGTATCTATAATAGAAAAAACATTTCGTTTTTAGACAAGAAGATTGCAAAAAAGAACTTTGTGTAAAAAGATAGGTACATACTGACATTTTTGCATGTAAGTATTTTTCAAACATAGAACACATTTAGTTGCTTGAATCTAATGAGTTTACTACTGCACTTGTTACTAATGGCTTAATTACTGCACATTCCATTCATGGGCTAATTACTGTTCTTACTACTAATGAGTTTCTCTGCAAAAGTTACCGTATTGGGTCCATGAAAATATTAATATTACAGTGGATTTTCAAATTGGTAACTTGAGAAAAAAAATTGAAGTAATAAATTTACATGAATGTGCTTACCGTTCTGTTACTACTTCGAAAATGCTAGTTCACTTTTTTTGGGTCACATATTTCGTGCGTTCTTTTGTATATTTAATATTCTTTGACTTCAAAAGCTTATATACTTGGTTAACATACTCAGTAAATTAAATCAATTAAACTTTTCATTCCAAAGCACAAAATTTTCAGTGTTTATTACTTGCAGCTGCCTTTCTGAAAAACTTTTCGATTCAATGTCTGCAAATGAGTATGAATGTTATTACTCCCTCAGCAAATTTTTATCAGAAAGTTCTTACGAATTAAAATATACAAATTAAAAAAAAAATCTTTAATAACTTCGATTATCATTTTCTAAAGAGACGCAACGTATTAATAAAATGAATAATTCCAAGAAACTGAAGTGGAATTACATATTTGGTAATGTAAAAACTTAATTTTCTTCAAATATTATAGCGGTGGAAATAGACGACATTTCGTTTCAAGAACTCGAAAAGAGTTTAAGATGCGAAAACCAATTTAAGTAGCTCCCATTCAAATAAAAGTACCCAACGCTAAGTAGTTAAAATAAAATACATATATTCAAAATTTTATAACGTTATCTTCCATTATTCTTAAGTCATATCTTTTAAAAATTGGCAAAAACAATGCAAGATTGACCGTAAAGAAAACGTTTAAAGCTCAATAATGGGAAAAAAATAAATCTTACTCCTCGTTTCAAATAAAAAACTTTTTTTAACCATTTTGAAATGATTAATAGCATTATCTTTTCAAATAACAAAAAAAAATCATAAAATTTTCAAGCTTTCTATACTTTCTTAAAGAATTATTGATCTAGAATTATAGCTATACATTATGATCTCTAAACAACGAAGTAATGATATATTAAAGATGGTATTTAGATAGCACAGTATATATTTTAAACGCCGGACTTATTAAGTCTATAGAGTGATGGCCTATGCTTTTTCGGAACGTGGCATTTATCTGTTCTATACCATTGCTTTAACATGTTTCGCGTTTCTGGAATTTTTAACTACACAATACACAGATACATCTTATTGTTATATAGGCAGCATTGAAATCGTGGCATTTTCCCCCACAAATGCTCTTGAGCAGTATGAAGATATGGCTTATCATTATATTACCTAATCAAATAATAAAGAAGTAATTAGTAAATCGTTGTCGTAGCAGGTAAGAGAATATATAAGGCATACTAACTTACCAATGGTTGTTATAACAGTAAGTGAATATAAAAATGCTCCAGAAAAAGTCCATTGAGTCCCAGTTCCATCTTTACCATCATATCCTTCTTTGATGGCATGTACTAGATCGGCCTGGAACCTTTTCACTTCCTCAGTGACTTGCCGTGTCCAGTTCTCTTTGTACAGTACATTCAACTGATCAGTGATGGCCCACAACTTTTTCACAGTCTCCATCCTCCTGGCCATAACTTCGTCCGCTTTTTTGTCCTCGTTTTCGGCTTCCAGAGCCTGGAATGCAAATGCCCCGAGGATGCTGTAGCCAACCACCAGGGCACATAGGCCAACATGAGAAAACATGAAGGCAGTAAACTTACGACAGCATGTTTTGCACTTGTTTTCAGGCTGTTGTCTACGACTGTGCTGCCGTTGTCGACCACTACGTCGACTGGAACGCTTCCTTTCCAGAGCCATGGATAAAGCTTAGCTGGAAAAACCATTTCTAATAAAGCATGTAATCTTTGTACAGGAAGATGAACATCTAGAAAAGTGTATCATCTTTATGGTAAATGGTTAATTTTAAATAACGTGTATCATCTTTGTGGCAAATGGTAAATTTTTAGAAAAGCAAAGAAGGTGTATACTCTTTGCGGCAAATGATAATTCCTTTAAAGACGTATCCTTTTTGTGGCATATAAATAATTTCTGTAAAAGCCATATAGTTTTTTCAAAAAGGACATTTAATTTTCAGATGGGCGTTTCATCTCAGTGACAAAAGGTTAATTTCGGAAAAAACGTATTTATCTTTGTGGTGAATCATCAATATCTAAAAAGACACAAACTCTTTGAGATAATCGGTTAACTTTTAGAAAGACGTGCCATCTTTGAGATAAGTCGTGAATATCCGTAAAGACTAAAAGTGAATTTCTAGAGATGTGCTGAATTGGATGGTTAATTTCTCTTACGTATGATGCCGCTGTTCTTTTATTTTCATTTACACGTCATAAATATTTAAATAAAAATAAACTCATTCTAAAAACTTCTAGAACTAAAACAAGCAAATTAAAATTCTTCAAGTATATTTTTTTGGACGTGAAGTAAAACTAATGCATAATCACTTTATAATGTTTTGTTTTATATCTTAATTAAGTTTACAAAACGAGATTGTTTTTTCCTATTGAATTTATTTTTTATTTGAGTACATAATGTTTATTAACTTATTAAAAATCAAAAACATTATTTGTAATCGACATCCTTCCATTAAGATAAATTGTATTTCAGCCTTTAATTAAACTTAAATAAAAACTTATTACACTGGTAGGTTTAACAACACATTTAAATCTGGAATGGTAGGGTAAAAAAATAAATCTTCGTTAAAGCATTATTATTAAAAACAATGTACTACTTGCACAAAATTACTTATTCCAGTGATGAATAAATCTGTAGGGAAGCCGAATGCGGCATTCTGAAAGTCAAAAACAATGTCCGTTAGGCTTAAGAACCGGTGATGTTACGAGACAATTGGGGTTCCCACACATTGTTTGTTTCCAGAATTAGATCACATTTATTCTTTCTTTTTTCATTCACATATGGCACACAATAAAAATGCAAGCGCAAACATATTTTTAGAAAGGCAAGTTTTTTTGTTGTTGCACTGAATAAAGCAAAATCAGTGCAAAATTGCTTTGCATCACTAGGCAGCGAGATCTAGCTGCATTGCGATCTGATCGTGAGAGAACAGCTCTCCCTGCTGATTTATCTTCTGATGCACGCTCTCTTCCATCCCTCATCCTTTCCTCCTTACTCTCCATCCTCACTCGTAGCGCCATCTAGGCCTGATGTGTGTAACTAATTTTTCCACTTTCAAGAATTAAATGAATTTATTAACTAAATCATTCCTTAATTTAAAAAAGGAAAAAAAATATTTATTACTTTACGTTTTAGTTTAACAAACCTTCACAAAAAATATTTCTAAGCATCAAAGTTGAATAATTTTTTAATTAATTATTCATAAAAACTCAGAAGACATTTTTACAATTTTGTTTGATTACTTATTTTAGAATTTTATTAAGTAACTTTTTATTTCGGAATATGTAATGAAATTAAAAGTAGAGATATTATGCAATAACTCTTTTTGAAGTATAAACTGGTAGCAACTATATGACAAGCAATTACTACTTAAAATGTCAACCACTTACTATAGAAATACAATTTAGTTATTTCAGTTTATTTTAAAATATATTTATCTTGTGTAATTTCAAAATGTGACACATTTCGGTCAATTGGAGAGTTTTTCTGCAGCTAACTGAACTTTTGTCCTTTCAATCTAATGTAAATAACAGCCGCAATGACCACTTCATTTTGACCAACACAGAATCATACGATCACTGTTTATTTATTTATTAAGGACTTTGTTAATACTTTTGAATATTTTTTTGCTTCATTTTATTCATTGAAATGTGTTCTGATAAACCTATACTTACCATATTTTATAGTTTAAGGTCGCAATTTTCAAACTTTGTTAAGTTTTAAATTTACTTACCTTAAAATTTGATAATTAAGTTCAATTCGTTTTAGAATTTAAACTTTAAAAATGTTTTAAAATACTTAAAACAATGAGATAGAAAGTAAATAGTTACTAGTAAGTAACTAGTAACTAGAAGGTAACTAGTTACTAGTTAGGTACCTAGTGATCTAACTCCTTTTTTCTAATTATCTACATTAGATAACTAATTAGGTAACTTGTTAGATAATTATCTAACGGAGATGGCAATAGGTGTTAAAGTATTTAGCTAGTTTACTAGGCTTAATAGAATGAATCAAAAAATATTCAAGCATATTAATTAACTACTTAATTATCCCTTATTAAACATGGACGGACATCGATTGTTATTTACAAATGCTTGATTAAACTTTTGTTTAAATTTGAACTACTATTATTCTTAGCTTCGTTTAAATCAAATTTATTAATTTTTTTGCTTTTGATAATTTTTTTTAATTATTCAGTTGACTTTACTTTTACTGTAATTTTAATTTTCGGCTTAAATTCTTTTTCTTATAGCTTTCCATTCTTTTATTGAAAAGAAAAACATTATTTGTTAAACTAAAAATAATATTACATTTTGTTAAAGAATGAATCTATAAATATTTGAACATAATAAGATATTAAAATAAAGACAAAAAATTTCACATATTGTATTGAATAACGTTTATTTTTTTTCAAAAATCAATAAATATGTTATTTGCATAAAAAAATAAATCAAATCAAACAAAGATTTTGGACGCATAAGGAGTTAATAAAGTTGAGCTTGAAGGACATAAGTTCATGAGCTTTACAATCACTGACAATTATTGTAAAAGTTAATACCTATGCATATTCCAAGAATAAATCCTGAAAATGAGATGATTGCCAAATTTATTCAAAATCTAAAAAATCATAATATTGAATGCTAAGCATATATTCATGAGCAATCAATTCATTCAACTCCAATTCATTATTTTAGGCATATTTCTGGTAAAAAAAAACAATTAAACTGTTTAACAGCTTTCTGGATAGACTACAAACATTTGTGAATTATGCAGAATATCTACAGTTTGGAATGCTTTTTGAAGGAAACTTTTCTCCCCATAATTTTGAACTATTCTTTCGTCGATCACAACAAATAATCATAAAAGTTTTAATAAACTATTTATGCACATTCCTAGAAACTTAGACTAAATCGTGTATGCATGATTTAAATCAAAGAAACATTGTTCTTGCAAAATAGCTTGTAAACACTTTGAACTTAGGCTAAATCTAAAGATTATAAAGTTTAAAATGTTGTTCATGACCTTTACTTATTCAAACACAATCATTTATGGTAAAAAAAAAATTAGCTATGGACATTCCAGTCCTTCGTAAAAGAGTAGTAAAACATTTATAAAAAATCATCAGTTTTCAGAAATTATAAACCTATGTAAAATCTTTGTATTTCAGACTATTAAAAGCTTTTGTTGCTAAGTTTGACACATTTTTATGTCAATTACAATTTATTATCGTTAAAATAAATGAATAAACTATGCAGATTTTCAGTATAAAAAAGAAATAAAATTAAATAACAATTAAGAAAAACTGTAATAATAATAAATTATGTATAATGATAAATTATGTACATAAATAAACGATAAAATTATGTGTGAATAAAAAACACAATTCTAATAAAAACAATGCAGTTTTGGTCGGAAGTTTTCGATTTAAGCAAGTTTTCGACGCATTAAATCTTAAATAATTGGGCATAATCTTTCGTGAATCATAGTCAGTTGCACGAATAAATAAATTAGTTATGCATGTTTCTAACACAAATAAAGTTAAATTAAATTTTTTTAAAAAAGCATTTTTTTTCAAGATAGTTTTCAAACATTTTAAAGGCATGGTCCCGATTATTATATACACGAAGCTTTACAAAATTTCTTTTAAACTGTTTCTCGTAAATATAAACAAATAAATTATGTATGCATGTTGCTATTAAGAATAAAACAATTAAGTTGAGATCACAAATATTTTTTAAAAATTTTAAGCGTATGTCTAATAATCATTAAACTTAATGTCTGATCTGAATGTTTAAATTCCAAATATAAGTAAGTTTTATATATCGTTCAACTAATTCACAATTTTTGATTTTATTCACACTTCTCTCCCGTAAAAATTAATGATTAGTTTTGTAAAATCTTTGTACAAATAACTTAAACTAAACTTAAACAGTAACCTGCATGTAAAGTTGAAAAAAAATCTAACTATATGTAAGATCTGCAAAGAATCACAATGTTTAAATTCTCTAGCTTGAATCAGCGAGTCAACACGTATTGTAAATGAAAACACGCTTTTTTGGCGCGTTTCAATCGTTTCTCTAGTAATAAAAATTAATTATTATAGCATAATTCGTTATCTATATTATCATAGCATAATCATGATATATTTTTTTAAGTTATAATATAATGTGAAATACAGTTTTCTAGATAATTTGCTAACAGCTTAAGCGTATACTAGTTCGTGAAGTGTGGACCGTTTAAATCTCCTTTTAAGGAGTATTCAGTACGTCTCTAATCATTGTCGAATCTTTTAATAGTAAAATTTATAGTAGAATAATTACGTGATAATAATCGAACCTTATAAATAAATAAATAAATTTGATAGCGTTAAAATCTTCGGCGAGATTCACTTAAAACTTGGTGGTTGATTGCCAGTTATGCAGAGATTTTTCGATCACTCTAATTGTGTTTCTGAGCGCATTCGCTTGGCCTCCCTGTTCTCTGAAATCTCAAACTCATGGAACTCACTTTTGTGTGACAATATTCTAGCCAAATAACAAACATCATGTAGTTAATATATGAAACTATATTAAATACCACCAAAACATCACAGAGGTCGAAACTACTGTTCAAGAAGTTATCAAACATTTTATACATTAAATCTGAGTATCTTTAAAAATGTGCATTAAAATACCTGAATTCGATAGTGTCTTGAATTTTTTTAAATTCTTTATTTCATGGAGCTCAATCTTTGTCATATGCATGTAATCAATGGGGAAACATTACATAAATTTAAATTATAATTAAATAAAAAAATTAAATTACAAAGAGCAATTTTGTAAAAATGCTTACAAAAGGATGCTCAATGTCTGTATTTCTGAGTCAGCAATGTTCTTGATCGATGCTAGATATGCTTCAAAAATGTTGGGCATATGCAAGATTCATTATGAAGCTCAGGGTGTTTAAATCTCAAGTATGTATCCCTGAGCTCCTCATATTCTTCAGTCAATTCACAATCATTGTCGGCATCAAACTTGATTTTCACTTTAAATCGATCCTCTTCATCTGTTCTACTATTATCAGATAACAGTGCCCACGGAAATTTAAAATCCTGCCTGTTAACAGGTATTCGAATGAACTGTAGAGTATCATCTTTACGCTCTTGGATATCTTTCAGAGGCTCTCTTACGTTCTGTGCTGCAATGAAATGTCTGGGTGCTGTAATAAGAGTGTAGAACTTTTGTTGTTCATTTGGCTGTAATTTAACATTCTCTTTATTTTCATGACACTGAGGAAGGATTGTCTTGGAGCAGTTCTGGCAAGCGTCTGTGTTGTTTTGTATACTCGTGAAAGGGAATCTAAAATTCCCTAACGAGATTCCCTCACTCCTTTTTTTCCGATAAACTGAATCTTTTCTAGTGTTCATCCAAACTGCTTTGTTTTCAATATGATTATCCATTTGACGCTTAACAAGTGTTGAGCGGTTGTTAACTGCCTGAGGAAATGTTGATGAATAAGCTGTTATATTTACTGAATTCACATCTTTTACGTGTTTTTTCTTCTCGGGAAACTTCGAATTAGGTGACTTCCGTTGTTTCTCTTTTTTGATATTTTGCTTTGGTTCTGCAACTGTTGAACCTAAAGTTTCAGTTTCCTGATGAATTGAGTTGAAAAGTTTAACAATTTCAAAATGTCCCTTTTTCTTTTCTGTTTCTTTATTTTTATTCCTCTCAACTAAATCGGAATTTGACTTATTCATTTTATTTCTTGCTTTATTTATAGTAGGTCCGGAGTTGTTGGAATGGATGGGTCTGCCCTATTTTGAAAGAAAAAATACGAACATTGTAATAGATTTTACAAATGAATGTCATTTGATTTAGGAAAAAACTGGAATAAATTATTCAAATCATCAACATAGTATAGACTGTAACATTACAATTTCATCGACATAGTATAGACGGTAACATTAAAGAAAAAATAATAACTGGCCCTTGAGTTTCGAACAGGCACTGACTTAACACCGTAAAAATGTATCAAAATGTGTAATATCGTGTGATAAATGAATTTGATTCTCAACAATTTTTAAATTACCACCTTATACTATTTTTTGTGTATATTTAAAAAGTAATTTTTGCTCATTATCTAAATAAAAGAAATATTTGTGGTTTACAAATAACAATTAAAGGTATGCTAAGAGAAAATCTCTTCGCCTAAAATTTTTTTTTTTGAAAAGTAAACTAAAAAAAAAATTTTTTTTGATAAATGGCTTAAAAGATTTTTTCTACAATTCATACTGAAAATTAATAGAAAATAAATATTTAAAAGCGCATTTTCTTTTTTCTTTTTTTTACAAAAAAGGTATTTATTCAAAAATATTTTTAAAATTTAAGATCACTTTAAAAATATATTAATAAACCTCTTGAATAAAGAGAAACTTATAAAAATTTTACCAGTTGAGAATAATTCTAACTAAGTAAATATTTGTAACAGTAATCAGAATTAAACCTATAAACACAGCTAATTTTTGCGTGTAATTATTACTTTAATAGTAAATTAATTTTTCTAAAACTGGAATATGAATAAAAAGGCAGTGTTTTTAAGGGATGGTGGCTTATTTTTGAAAAAAGGGCAAAGAGGGGGCATTTATAGGGATCAAAGGGCAGGCAGGGTGGTCCGCCCTTCTAAAAACACTTAGGATTGACTGAATTAAATGTAATTAGTTTTAATTTATTTTTAGAAATAGATTCTTAAAAATAAATAAAAACAAATTTTGAACTTGAAATTGTTATTTTTTTCACAAGAGCTGGCATATGATTTTTTTTATTATTTTCCAACTTAAAATGTTTCCTATCTATTTTAGTACGGTGGTGGTGCTCTATAAACAATAACACCATACTTAAATTTATAAATTTGATTTACATTTATTTCAAAGTTTATTTGATTCAGTTTTTAAACCTGTGAGCGAATTTGTGTAATTGTATTCTTTTATATAAAAATTAAATCAACCAACAAAATAAAAGAGCGTATATATGAAGATAAAAAATATGATAGTTTAAGGGAATGAAAAATTATTAAACCTCATCGTTAAATTTTTTTATACTGATTTTAATCATTTGATTTAAATAAATATCACTTTGTCCTTAGTTACGTTTAATATTTGGCAAAGTACAATGTTTAGGAATCTTCATTCAGAAACTACCTTTTTTAAAGATTTGAAGCGGCATTACGTTACTCCTTGACGTTGCATTTTCTTGAAAAATGATAAATGAAATTTTTATTTATATTTTAAATTAAGAAATAAACAACAAAAGTTATATTTACCCTTCTTTTATTTCCTCTGCGTTTACTTTTTTTTCTTTGGGAAACTGTATTTTTCTAGGAGAAAATAATAAGAAGACAATTAATATTCATTTTTATATATAAAATGGACATTTTATTTTATACTTTTCTAAACCTTAATCAAATTTCGATATTTTGTCTATAAAGTTCCAGAAATAATTACCTGCATTGTTTATTATACTAATAATAAAAAGAACTATGCTTTGTAGAAATTTACACGATAAAAATTTTATTTTCGCATATTTTTTTAAAAAATAAATAAATAAATATGTTTTTCTTTTTATTTTAAAAAAAATCAATATTTTAAACCTTTTCGCAATCTGATGCATCCTATCAAACGATCTTTAAATTTAAAGACCTAATCAGCACCAATAAATCATACCGTGGTGGGATTTTTGAGTAAAATCTTATTGAGTAAAAACTTATCGAATCAAAAATGTAAAAATACACGTGCGTAATATTTTCAATCGATGCAGTCAATGATGTTAAACTGGATCACCCTCTGGGTTGGATCAGAGAAAACTCTAAAATCTTAAAGAAAGAAAGAAAAAACTTTTTTTCAGCAGGTTTGGAATTTTTGAAATCAGTATTCCAATTTGTTCTACAGGTTCATAGGTGATTTCAAAATGAAGATTGAGACGTAAAAATTTTTGAAATAGATATACTTCGATAAATGCATGTCAGATCAAAAGAATAAAAATGGTCTTCTATTTGTTGATATTTTGAGAAACCTATCTGACTACTACCAAACTCGTAACGACGTCATATTGTCATCTTTGCACCACGAGAAGAGTGGAAGAACTCAAATTTGGCATTTATGACAGCATCTTTTAAGATTATATTTCATAGGTATAGATTTTTGATGCCATGTGTACCTCTTTATCAACAGATGTTTAAATGGACCTTTTCTTAGATCAATGCACATAAAGAGAAATACAAAACTGCTAATGTATAAAACAATTCAATTCCTTTCTAGTTAAAAAGAAGAAAAAAAATTTCAAAAATCCAACTGAGTTCTGTCGCGCAATAGAATAATGAATGATAATTTTATTTTCTCTAACTAAATACATGTAGAGCTGAAGATGGAGTATACGAAACCTTAATTCGGAAATGTTAGCTAATATTAAGAAATTTTAAGCTTTTTTATAACAAAATTGACACCAGTTTTTAATTTTTTTTCCATGTGCGTATGAACTTTGCAACAGTTTTTTTTGTATTTAGTGTTACAGTTAGTTTACAGTTTTCTTATGAAACTGCGGTATATGAAACGGCGGTTTTATAAAACGACTTATATAATGTTATTTCTGTGGGGCGAAATAATTGAATTATGAAGCTCTGAAATAATAAAGAGAGAAAAAACGTACAGTCGCAAAAAAAAAAAAAAAAAAAAAAAAAACCTGACCATTTTGAATAATTTTTGATCTAATGATTGGACTTTCAAGTTCTAGGACTCAATCTTAATGGTTCGAGAGGGTGACATCAAATAGGTTAATTAATAAGTGCAGACGATATTTTAAATTACGAAATCAGACACAAAAACGTATTTTCTCTGAATAAACATAGCTTTTTTCGACCATTATTAAATAAAATAATAAAAAAACAATAAATATTAACTAGAAATTATTTTTTGCATGGAATTATCTTTCGATAAACGAATTTTATAATTGTTAGCAAAATTTTTTCAATTCGCTTAAAAACTTCTTGAATTATAGCGAAACACACAAAAAAACAAAATTAACATTAAGGGATTCAAGTTTTGGGGACCCTATTTTCCAGATTGCGACTATCCCATATATTTTTGGGGTCAGAAATCCGAATCTGTTGAAAAAAGGGCATGTTTATTTAGAAAAAGTACGTTTGTGAGCCTGATTTCGTAACTTTATTGTCTGCACTAATTAATTAGCATATTTGACGTCACCCCCTGGAGCCATTCAGATTGAATCCTAGAGCGTGAAGATTCATTCTTTAGATTAAAAGTTATTCAAGGTGGTCCATTTTTTTGCTTATTGTACATTACGATTTTATTTATACACACTTCAATGCCACTTGAAAATTACAATGGGAAGTCATTCATAGAATTTCACTATATTCACATTATAAAGTTCAATGTTTGGAGTCACACTGTATACTGTAATGTTAACTTGTAAATGTGGGCAGAGTCTAAGACATGGCGAATGCCTTATATGATATACATAAGCGTTCGAAGTAAACTAAAAAAAATTATCTTAATCCAAATGTCTAGCTGTCGTTTTAACATCTCAAATAAAATTACTTTTCACATGGGTTAAAAGAAATGACGCATTACAATACAAGCATTAATAATATTCAGCAGCAAAAAAATATATAGATGAAAAATTGTAATAAAAATAAAAATAAAGCGTTATAATTTCACGAAATGCTCTAAGGGAAGACATTTATTTAAAAAAATATATATTTATCTTCATATAAATAAAATTTTGCATATAAATGAGAATTACTTATATCCAACCTTGAACTTTAAAATTTGGCAACAATGTTTAACAGAACACATTTCAATGGTTAAAATGAAATATAAATATACCCAAATATTAACTAAATAATTACAAAATAAGGAAATCGCTTTCGTGTAATTCTGTGTAGGTTAACAAACAGGAAATCTGATTCCCCCTTTTTTATTTCTCTGAAGTCAACATTAGAATAAATTTATAAAATCAAATATTTAGATTCGCATGCTTTTAACCAATATTTAACAAAAAGAGTTATAATAAATGAATTAATTAAAAAAAAACATTAATCTTAGGTTTTGTTTAGCTCACAAGTTAAAAAAAAAAAAAAACTTACGAGTTCAAAGTATGAAAATTATTTTTGTCACAAGTTTGATGAATGATGATACACTAACGCCATAAAACTTAGTCAAATAAAAAGTTATTTGTAAGAAGGAAATACATTCTAAAATTATGTTTAAAATCAGCATATTTCATTTAAAAAAAGTTTACTTACACTTAAATGCGTATGATTTCTAGAAACATTATTCAGCAAATCTTCTCTTCCTCGTAAGAACCAGGGATTTTTAAATTCATGCAAATGTCTCTTATTTCTTATCGTTCTCAAGTCAGTAGTCTTTTTAAATCCATAAAGATTTAACTGCCTGATGAAACTAGCAATTTTATTGCTTTTGCAGAAATCTTTGTTAATATCCAAAAAGTTTCTTTTAAAATTATTAAGATCGAAAACGATTCCATTTCCACTTTTATTCCAAATCACAGAATCCACTTTCGGAGAATTAACGATTTTATATAACTTAAATTGAAATCGTTGGAGACTCGGCATACCGAATTGATTTAGTAGAATTGTAACTCTCAGGCTTCTTGTTAATGTCTGCGTGTTAATTTATTTCATTATTTTACTGTTTTTATCTAACATTTTCCCGCCAAATGGTCATATAATATCGTCTGCATTCTTTGAAAGAATTAATTATTGTTTTCAATAAATATATTTATGTTTTTACTCAGTAAATAATCGTCTGCTAATGTTTTATACTGCATTAATCGTCTGCAAGTTTTTACAGAAAAAAGAAAGAGCTATTAGACCTTTATTTATTTAACACACTTTTGGATTTATTATGCTTTCCGAATTAATAAATTATTTCATTTTTTCTTTTCCGCCTTTCCCTTTTTTTCAAAACGAAATCTAAAATTTCTAAATATACATTGTGTGAAAGCTACATTTCATTGATAAAAAATATAGAATGAAATAAGATAGTCAAGTATTAAAATTTTAATGAGGATTTATTTAGGAAAAGAACTTTATTGAATTGCTCATTTTCCTCTACAACTATTTTAAACATTTTCATTATATATAATGCGAACTCATAAGAAACAATGAAAAATTATTGCAGTATTTAAAAGGAATAAAATGCGTAATGACTTCAGAAAGGAAAAAAAAAAACATTCTTTCAAATGTTCCAACTATCCCCGTAATGTCAGTTCACTTACATATATTGTAATGACTTTTGTTTAATATTTGCCAGTACCAATGAAACAAGAGACATGTAAGAGACAAAAATTAAATCCACTCTCACTTGATCGTTTATATTTACATTGTCATGATTTTTGACAGTACGATTTTAAATTTCGAGTCTTGTCGCTGTAGACGGCATGTTATAAATATAAACAAGTGTTCCTTTTGTTGTAAATTAAGAATATGATAATAATAATAAATAAAAATAAAATAAATTTAAATGAAATAAAATAATGCATTAGCTTAATATATAGCTCAAACGAAATGTTCGCTTTTGGGTACAAGTAGCGTATTTATCTAAGGACACAGTATACAAGGTGTTCCTTAAACAAAGCTATGATTTTTTTAAATTTTTTTTTTAAGAATCCGTGTCAAACATTAAGTTAAAGAATAAGCATAATAGGAAAAGCAAATTAAAGTTTAATTGAGGAAAATACAAAATTGTTATACTAATCTGACTTGTCAAAAAAAAAAAAAAAATTGCGGAATTAAAAGTATAAGAACCTGTCGGATTGCCCGAGAGAACAAAGAAGTGTTGAATGGCAATCAGACAAAACATTTTTTTGGAGTTTTAGGTGGTAATAAAAAAGATGTTGATGTTTTGAACTCCACCTTCCTCAATAGTAATTTTTTGGATTTCGAAAGCGTTTTTTTTTTTCCTTGTTTAAATATTAATTTGCTAACCATTATGTAGTAAGTACAGGAAATAAAATGCTAATAATGGTAGCCAGACATTACGTAATAAACATCCGTACTCCACTCAAGAGGAAATTAATTAGCCTCCGTCATTGAGAGATATAAGTTGTTCTTTTTTCTGCTAAATAAACGTTGTTGTTCCGATTCTTTTATTTTTACGTGCCTTACTTATCACGTACAGTGCTTACTTATCACAGTACTGACCGTCCTTAATAACTTTTGATCTAAAGATCCTACGTGAAGTTCTAGAACTCATTCTTAACGATACGAACGGGTAACCTAAAATATATGCTTATTAATTAGTGCAGACGATATTTTATGTTACGTAATCAGGCACAAAAACATATTTTTTCAGAATAAACATACCTTTTTTTCGACGGATTTAGATTTCTGACCCCCAAAAATATGGGGGGTCATATTTCACCATATTTCGCGAACTTTTGAAGCGAATTAAAAATATTTTTGCAAACATTTATAAAAATTCGTTTATTTAAAGGTAGTTCGTTCTATGCAAAAAATAAGCTTTATATTTATTATTATATTTAATAATAGTCGAAAAATAATGAATTGTAAGATAACATTTTACATCATTTTAAAGTATGTTATTTTGGTTGGTTGGTTGGTGTCGTATCCTCTATTGAATCATATTTCATGGTGTGCTTGGATAGTTTTTGTTATTTCTATAGCATTAAGTGATTACAAATCCTCTTCTGTGGGGTAGTTTAAGAGGTGAAGGCCTGCAGCTACTGCAGGGCAGTTAAAAACATGATATGGTGTCACACACAGTTCCACATTAAGACAGTTGCCACAGTTTTGATATTTTCTAGTCCCATCTGTAGACATTTCATGTTTTTTATTGTATGTTATTTTACTTGGAAAAATACAAAATTTGAGCAATATCGGTTGAATAGTTCCTGAGAAATGTCTCTCTAGAAAATTTAAATATACGACTTTTTTCTCTGACGCTGTATCCCCTGAGCCACCGCGGCTAAGCATGTACCAGGGACTAATATAGGGGCATGTACAGTGAAATTTATGTACATGTGTGGGTGTGTGCGTCATATATATATATATATATTATTTATTATTGTGAATTATTAATTTTTTTTTTTCGAATTACAAGATATAAAAATTTTTACATCATTTTAAAGAATATAATTTTAGGCGGCAAAATAGAACATTTAAACGAAATCAGTAGTAATTGAATAGGTTCCAGAGTAATTGAATTTTAAAAAGTTAGATATTTAAAATTAAGTGAGATATTTAAAATTAGATCATTAGAATAAAAGTTATTCTAATGATTCGTTTTTTTTTCAGCACAGTATTATTAAAATACCCAACAAAGATGGTAATTATTTTGGAATTATTTTATTCGAAGAGAATATTTTTTTCATAATTTCATCATTAATTATCTCAAAATTAGATGTTATGATTCATGCATGAATTAAGTTTAATTGAGTTCAGAACTACGTAAGTTCAGAAACTGTTTTTGGTGTGAGCTGAGAATGAATAAAATAAGCTAAAAAGTTTTTAATGAAAGGAATAGCTCTGTTAAAAACGTCGAGAACGGTGATCGGTGAAATATATTTCTTTATTTTTGAATTGATTATTCTATTTTGAATTGGAAATTCAGCATCAAGTGCAAATTCAAGTTTTATAAATGCATAATTTTTTAATAACTTATTTTAGTGTATTGTTGTTAGAATTATTTAATTTAAAAAAAATATATAATTTAAAAAATTTTACAGTAAAATAAATAATGAATTAACCAAAATAAATATTTAATTAACATTAATAAATAATAATTTGAATCTCTTGCCCAAGGGTGGCTATTATAACCTTTTTGTTGATTCACCTTAGGCACTTATTTTTCTTGTCAAAAAATTTTAGAATGAAGAGCCAAGAAAATTTGAATGTCCTTCAGATATTGATTCAGTTTGAAGTGGAGTCTTATTTATTTAATGACATTATTCAACATGATAAATAATAAATGTTATCAATAAATGCTATCAAATAATAATTGTTATTAGCAAATTGATAAAAAAAAAAGATGGATATATAATACAAATATTCTTATATTTCAGATGTTGCTTGAAAAAAAATAAGATTTGAAATTTTTTATACTATATTTTAAGAATGTCTGAATTTCAAGTATATTATGTAGTGTGTATTATGCTAAAAATAACACAAATGTATTTATCTTTTTTAAAAAACAAAATGCATTTAATTTGCAAAAAATAAGATAAATTGTTTTGACAGTCCATGTTTCTTCCTCTGTTTCTTTGCTCTTCATATGCTGTAAGAGTATATTTTGTTATAATTAACTCTTCACTAAAAAAATAAAAATAATTATAATTCCATACATTAATTATTATATTTACTGACATTTAAAAGCATTTATAAAACTGGTTTTTTGTTAAAAGTACATTTCAAATAAACCGGAAAAAGACAGAAAATAACTTCCAAAATGATCCATTTTTTTTTTATGGACAAATACAATCATATATTTTTTAAAACTAGTATTATATATATTTTTGCAGTTAACTTAAATATTGATTGTCCAAAATAGATCACTCAATTATCTTTATTTCGAAGAATAAAAACTGTTCAATTTATTTCTAAAAAACTCACTCTTTGAAATTACTAATATCTCTTAATATAATAAGTAAAAAGTAAGCAAAAAATATGATTATTTTCAAAATCTTGACCGGCGTAAAAACCACTTATCAGTGCGATAAACGAAAACCAGAACTTAACAACTTAACTTCATCCATTGCCAGATACGTATAATAGTTAAAATATGTTGCCAGATTATCAAATGCACACATTAAAATTTTTAATTAATTAGGTCTTGAGTTAGACAAAAATAAGACGTCAGAAACGTTTGCAATTTAAACTGAATATAAACAAATCGTCTATGAAATTTTTTCACTCGATCTTATTGTGCGTTATCCCCACTGTATCAATAACAAAAGTTTGTCATAAATAGTGTATATTTTAGATTTCGGATACTAAAATAATTCTTAGAATAATTTGTTCCCTTCACTATGGATGCATCGCTTGATCAAGATGGTAGGTAGTTACATAGCTATAACATTTTTCGATTACTCAATTATTGAAAACATAATCTTTCTCTAATAAATATGTTTTCTTCCGAACTTAAAACATTTTAACTCAATGATCATGATTAAAAATTTTTTTCTACCAAATCATAGTTTGATTGCTACACTTACCTGAGTGTGAATTTGTAGTAACGCTCTTGTTTATAGCACTATGAATAAACAATTAAATTTTTTCTTCTTCTTTATTCTGATTCATTTAGGGTTTCAGCTTAGTTCTAATGCTCTTCAGCAAAAATCCTGAATTCAGAACAAGGCTTATGAATACGAGTTTAACTACCATTTTAGTAGCTTTTACGTGATTTAATTGCAAAGGGATTTCACTTCGAATATCGAACGTTCAGAATTCTATTTTATCTTGCTGATCGCCTAGAATTTTTGTGTATCTCTTGTTTAATGTAAATTTCATCCTGCCTGTGCAAATAAAAACAATAAGAGAATCTTAAGAAAGAAAGGTTGTTGCATTTCAGGTCATGATTGTTTTTATTTTTTGATAAAATCTTGTTAAAAAAGCATTGTATTAAAGCAAATATATATTTATATATTATTAGCATTTCTAGTCTTTCAGCATTTAGCTTAAAATGCTTTTAAAGAAGCCTGAAGAATGATCAATGCCCTGGATCTATATAAGTGATGTTTTCCTTATAAAAATACATAATGGGGCAACATTTGATATAGATCTGCTGTTTTATGAACTGCATGTTTTGTGTTAAAAAATGACCAAAATCCCGGTGAACTTTGAATTTAATAACGTTGCAATATTTGATTCCGGTTTTAGCATGTGATAAAAGCTGCACCAATAAAAATGTGCCTAAAGTGGTTGGCGAGGAGTTCCACTTAAATAAAAAAAGAAATACAAATTTTCACCAAGCAGCACCTTGAAGTACATTTTTCAACATGACTTATTATAAGTAAACAATTTTTGATGGAATGAAAAGAAATGGATTATTAATGCAACAATACCTACTTATTGCATTATAATAAATTGCTTTAAAATTATTATCAACTTAATAATTAAATTTACAAAAAAGATATTGCGTTATGAATTTTTTGAAAATTTAAATTTTTTTCTTTCTTAGGTATACAAATTAGGAAACTTTATTTTAAATCTCTTGTAAAATCTTTAAGGATATTATAACTAACTCTTTTAAATATTAGAAGTTGGCAAAATTATATGATAATTTATAAATGTGTGGGTGATTTTTTCAATGCTTTAACTTTTGACTGATACAATAAGGAAAAATTCCTCTCATAATTAACTTAATATTGATAATTTTTACATTGAACTACACATTTAAGTGCAGAAATCATTAAGTGTACTTCATCAGGGGACACACTGCCTGCAAACAGACAGAAACCTTTCTGTTGTTAGTGGCTTTTAACCAAAACTAACAGCACTGTTAGTAATTGAGTTCGATTAAATGAATTAAGTATGCTTCATCTACAAATAAATTGTGTGCTTGATTCAACCTTTATGAGGCACAGTCATACCTTTACACACAGTAGTAATAATATAAATAAACAAATTAATAAAAAGATCGACTGCTAAGATAAATTCTAATGAAAACGAGAAAGTTGGAAGATTTATAGCGCTAAACAATATTTTAAAAGAGTAAAAAAAAAGAGAAGACGGATCTGTTAATACTCCTGGCAGCGTGCCAACGTAGAATGAGAAAATCTTCGGAAAAAATATCAACGATAAATAAATAAAAAAATTTTTAAAAAACGGAATAAAAATTATCGTTTGCCAATATAAATTCTTAAAATAACTTGTAATGAAACATAACTTGAAACTTATTGTAAGAATTGTATTGGGTCATTGTAAAAAAAAGTTTATTTTGAAATTAATATGTTTTTTTTTTGTTTTCATTTTTGGAAAAAAAATCTTTTTTATTTTGTAGTTAATTGTCCAAGTCCCTTCACTTTTGAAATCGAAAGTAAAAATTTCTTTCTTCCTTCAAAAGAATAAAGGTGGGCAGAGGGAGGTGGCGGGCTCCAGAAGATGCATGAGAACGTATCTTTTTTCAATGACCTGACAATTGTAGGGGCATGACCTACAATTGTCTACAGGACTTGTGAACAAGATTTCTTCCCTTAAAAAATTCTTTCCAAGAAAACTCTTGGCAGGCCTACTGACCGTCACCATTGCGGTATGGTTTCTTAAAATAAGCAATACTTCCATTTCTAAGAAGAAAAAAATTTTCTGAAAAGAGAAAATAGGAACCCACCCAGCTGCAGGAGGGGTTGCATTCCCTGATAGGAGGAACTTCTTGGAAGATCTCTTATTTAAACTACCAACTTCAAGAGGGAAAAGAGGAAGGGGAGCGTTTCGGAATCTCATTTACCCATAGCGATTGAGCTAGAGGGAAGACAAGTTGATTTCAAGAAAAGTATCACTAAGTGAGGGGGGGGGGCAGAACAAAAAAATTCTTTCTTGCAGGAAGGTGGTATCTTTTTGGAGGGGGAACACCAGGGCGCATTTTATTATATCAGGGCGGGATAAAAGGAATAAAGGGCAACACCGCGGAAATTTTTCATGAAAAGGGCATACGGGGTGGGGCGCCCCGTAGACCCCGCCTAGAATGAACCCTGCTAGAATTTTGAGAAAACAATTCGAATTGTTTTTAGGAATTTTTGCTTTTTTATTGCAAAAACACTTTTGTATCATTTATATTTTTATAATAGCTTAAATAAGAACACGTTTTGTAAGTAAACACACAATGATTTATTATCAAAACTCTTGTTTTGTTTGTGTTGTGGTCAGTAGTTATAAACAGGGACAAAGAACTGGAAAAACACAATTTTTTATTTGCTTTAAGATATATATTTTTTTCTTAACTACACAATTTGCTCTATAATGATTTTAATTATAGATATTGTTTGTTTGATGTTTTAAAATCTTACTAATATTTCATCTGTATTGTTTATGGTTTAGAAAGGGGTAGAAATTAGTCGTAGTAGCTTTTTTAAGTAATCCATTTAATTTTCTCTATATCTTGTGCATCTGATCAATAAAGCTTTTCCTCCTGACCGACCAGTAAAATTTCTGTTGAATTTTGATTCGGGTGGAAGTTTTTTTCTTTGTCTTCTTTTAATCATCCACATTTACTAAATTTTTTCTATGATCAAGAAAGGTCAACAAGTAATTAAAATTGAATTTGCAAATTACTATAATACTTTAAAAAAAATTTTCTTTTTTTCTGAGTGACCAAATTGTTATTTCTACTCACAATTTTTTTTAATTAACTAGAAGGCTCTAACGAACTTTAGAAGACATCAACTCTTCTCGTTCTTCACTGAAGAATAAGGAGATGAATGGTTTATGCCCATTTTTAAAAAAATTATGATTTGAGCCGCGATGGCTCAGGGAATAGAGCGTTTGCCTTCCAATGAGGTGAACCAGGCTCTAATCCCTAGCGATGACTGGTCAAAACGAATCCACATCCGGCTTGCACCGGCCACAGTGCTAACGTGAACTATCGTCAGCGGTAGACGGATCATGGGTTAGAATCCCTTTGCCGTCAAGCTAACCGTGGGAGGTTCTCTTGATCTTCTTCTCCATGTAACGCAAATGCGGGTTAGTTCCATCAAAAAGTCCTCCACAAAGGCAAATTTCTCTCATTACTTGATCCAGGAGTTCCCTTGTCTTCTGGATTGGGTTCAAAATTAACAAGGGCACGGAGTTAAACATTAGTAGTCGTAACAGGGACGTAGGTAAGGGGGGTGTTCAGGGTGTTCAAACACCCCCCATTGTACAGAGCAATGTTTCTTTTTTTTTTAATACTATAGATAATTTTTCCTTAATTTTACAAACTTTTTAAATATTTTATTTACTGAAAAAAAATGTAGAATTCCCATAACATTTCATTTTGAGGCTTTTATTAGTCTGTAACAGAAATAAAATAATCACTGCTGCCTCTTTGCTACCCATTCATCAAGAGAGCAACAAACGCTTATCTTGAGTGATTAAATTAGATAGCATCCCTTTCCTCATTGATTTACTACCCACAAAACTTCTCCCCTCAGAAAAGTAGCCAGCCCAGCTCATATTACTCTAAGGGAAAATGTTCTTCCAATGGGTTCTATCTTATCTCATCTACTTTTTAAAATATCGGCTGTACACAGATCCTATTTACGGTCATAAAATGCATGCCTCAAACAAAGAATTCTCTTGGATTTCTAGGACTGCATATATATGTTAACCTTTTCAAGACATAAAAACTTCCTTGGCAATTTTTTCGGTCATTCTGTCTGGGAACTTTGTTTTAGACACTCATCCTAAAAGCTCTAAGTTTTAGATTTTTCCTTTTGTTTAATGTAGCATTTTATTTAAAATTTCGTTTTATATTTTCTTTCTGATTAATTTTTA